GGTAGGCCGGATACATTGGGGTTTAGGGTTTAGGGTTCGGGGTTTGGGGTTTAGGGTTTAGGGTTTAGGGTTTAGGGTTTGGGATTTAGGGTTTAGGGTTTAGGGTTTAGGGTTTAGGGTTTAGGGTGTAGGCTTTTGTTGGATAAATTTGGGTTCATGTGGTGCCTCAATAGTTGGAGCAGGGCATGGCTGCATACTGTAACTATCATGATCATCTGAAACCCCCAAAAATAGCATTCATAATCATTCAAGCTTTTTGTATAGGTACCCTGATTGGCTTCTCTCCCTAATCATGACTCTACATTTTACTGACATACTTAGTCCCCTGAGCCTCCAAGCACTTGTACCGCATTGCCTGAACCTCAATGTCATGTCAGGCATTTCCCTGGGATCTATACTATGTTTCTAAGACAAGGCCCTGCAAAGCCCTAGTCTAATTGTTCAAAGCCCGTTCCTTTTCATGAGCATGGCAATCCTCAAGTCAATACCTTTTTGCCATACGCCCCTTCCAAAATTAGCTGATAGGCTTCACGGTGCTTTGGGAGATACAGGCTTAAGCGATTTTAGGGTCTTGTGGCCTCCTCTTGCCCTTCATCTTCTCCCTCAACTCATTGAAGAGCTCCTGCGGGCAGATGGGTTTGGCTCTAGGCTACACAGGGGTCGCCGTAAACTCGAAAGCCGAAACCCTGAAACCCTAACAGGTTCGCATGAGGCTGAATCTGGGTTCTAAGGTGTACGGCTGAGGTGTGGTTCTAAAGGCTGGCTGAGGGTCTCGAGGGTTTGTCTGTTCATGCAGTGGCTCTGAAGGTTGAGAGCTCACGGTTTAGGTCGGCAATCAATCCTGGATCATGTTATAGGAACCGAAAGTTCCACATGCCAAGATACTCTGCCTTAATCTACATACCAGGTGAACCGTTGAGAGGTCAAATCCACCATGCTTCTGCTGGCCTTGTCGCACACCCCAAAACCTCGCATTCATAGAAAAACTCCGAACATTAGCGCTTTGTAGGACGCTAGGACAGGACTCTATCATATTTTCCTGATGGTTGAAGTCGTTCATACGGACGTAGAGTATAGGGATGTATCTGGATTGTCGCGGAATGATGCGTACATCTACCGGGGCAGCTCTTAAGCCGTCACCACCAACCAAACCCTAAACCCTAAAACCCTAAACTCCAAACCCCTAAACCCTTAATCACACCCCAAACCGACAAGAAACCCCTAAGCTTCTTCGAGGCCTGGCGAGGTTTCGCGGCTTAGGGTAAGGACACAGGAGCAGACCATAAACTCCAAATGCCGCGTAAACAGGGTTTAGCGGTTATGGCTTCGGGTTTAGAGTTCAGCGATTTTGGAGGGTGTTGACAATCGTTTGTCCTCGAAAGGAGGGTGTCACGTTAATTTAGAATTCCGAAACACCCCGAGCAGCCCCGACACTGAAGCCTTCTGCTGCTTGAAACGCGGACACGGGTTTTTAAGAGTTGTTTATAGGGGTTCTTTAAGGGGTTGGCATGGGTTCTTTAAGGGTTCTTGAGGGGACTGCGGTTTTATCCGCGTTCTTTACATGTTCTAGAAAGTGCTCACACAAATTATACAGGCCTCTTTCACCACCAACACCCGAATCACGCGAAATCCTAGACTCAAGAAAACCCCGAAACCAAAACTTCGGACTCGGGCAGCAGCATCTGATAGCACGTTGTCAGCGGACAACAAATGATTTCATAGTCTGACAGCTCGCCTCCATCTTGGACAGCATCTCAGCTTCGGGTTGAACTGACATGTCTTTTCGGCGTTTGCTTCTTTGTTGAGTCCAGATGTCGCTTCCAGAGAATTCAAGCTCTGCCTGCTCGAACTCTGCCGCAGGGGAATTGCATTTCAGCTAGAAGTCGTCAGAGTCGAGGCGGGACGTGGCTGCAAAACCTATCGGAAGCTGTTGCGCTCGAGCCTCCGAACGTTAAAAGAAAGCGACGGCAAATTCAAGGATCGTCGCTGCAATTTTCGGGTTCCCCCACGTCGCAACTCCTCAGTGAGATTACTTGTTGTCGTCCGCAAGCCGACCTAACTTCTTGAGTTTGCAACCCCCAGACCCGAAACCCTCAACCCGACAACCCCCACCCTCACTCCTGAACCCTAAACCCTGAGCCCTAAACCCTGAGGAACCCCCAAAACAACAACCCTCCGAATGTCCCAGGCTCCTCGGGCTTCTCGATGATGTTGTTCTCCAGCCGCAGCCACAAAGGCACCTCTTGGGGTGTGGGGGAGGTTTAAACGGCTTTTGCTTCTAGCGTTTTGGGGCTTAGGGCCCCCTAAAATCTCCGGAAGTCTGATCCTTTCGACCAAGAGGCTCGGGAGGCTTGTCGCCACTATCGATGCAGCAAGGGTTACTTGGGGCTTCCCGTGATCCTTCAAGTAGAGCTTGGCTTCAAGAAGGTGTCGGGTTCAGCCTAGCCCGCAAGCCCTACAAACCTTCTTGGAAAACCCCCTTCATATAGTTCACGGAAACCAACGCGAAGGAACTGCCTTGAATCTCAAAGGAAGCCTTAAAGAATACATGCCGAATTTCCGAGCGTCAGGCCTTTCCTATGTTCGTCATCCTTCAAACCATGTGGGTTCCGGCCCTGGAGCCCAAAAGACCCCAGCTATAGGGAATTCAAAACACTTTTTGGGGTGATCATATCCCCCGAACTCCTGGATAACCCCACTCTTGAACCATGCTGAAAAGTCAGTTACAAAAGAACTCATGTACAAGCCCAAGGCAGACCCCCGTAGAGAGAAGTCTTGGATTAGTTAAAGTTAAAGGCTGTTGCCTTAGAGCACAAAACCCGAAACCCGAAACCTCTAAAATAGGGGCCTTAATAATTAGAATAGGGTCTTGGGGTCTTTTATACTTTTCCTAGAATCAGGAACCCCCCAAATAGTGGTAATTATTTGGGCCCCTATATTAAACCCGAAACCCTGAATCTCCCCTTGGGGCGGCGCAGGGCGGTTGTCTTTGAGGACGGGCGGATACCGCTCATCTTGCCCCAGGATGCGGACCAAGCCTTGCGTCCATCTTTGTTGGAGGGGCCGGGGTTTGGCGCAGTTTAAGATTCCGTGCAATTTAAAATTTTGCACTTCGAGTTTCGCAGGAAGGTCCTGTTACCGCAGTTGGGCTCGCGCCGTTGTATCCGAGGGCGGCCTCAGAGTCTGCTTTTGGGGCTTGCAGGAATGACGCCCCCGTGCACCTTTGACTTGGGCCTGCTACAGGTCGGAAAGTGTCGTTTGTTGAGCACGCTGGTGTGCTCCACATGCCATTTTCGGATTTTGGGAGATAGGTCGGTTGCTGCCTTGCGTCTGCAACCGACCATCTTTGCACAACTGGAGCTGCATGAAAAGCGAAGTGGTTTCTGAGAAACAGTCCCGGCGGAGCAGGTTGACGATGACATGTTGAGCTCTTTGACCTTTTGTTCCAGTGCAGCCCCAGCCTTGGTCGTACTCTAACTGGCACTTTCTTGTGAGGCTCCCTCACAGAAGCTTGTTCACTCTTTTTCCGGCATTTCCTGCTCCGAGCTCCCTGATGCGCCGAGTGTTGCCGAGATGTCACTGTCTCCAGCGCTTCCCGCCTTCCCGCTGCCTTGTACTCCGGCTCACTGCTCCCCTACCTTCTGTGCTCATAAGGTGAGATTAGCATGGTAAGGGAGGGGCTTAGGGTGTAGGACTGCCCCAAGACCTCCAGGCTCGTGAACCGTTTCTCTTCTGTGGCCGTGCCACCTCCATGTTGAGGCAGGAAACTATAGTCAGTTGAGAGTTTCGATCTGCTGGGGGCTTTGATCCTTAAACCTTCTGCCGTCTAAAATCCAAAAAGAGCATCGAATGCCAAAAAATGCTCAAAAACTGAAATCTTAAAACCAAAACACTAAACCTCGGGCCTACTTGCATTACCTGTAACCCGCTTTAATGAACTACCCTACCACCAAAAGAGCGGGACGATCGAATCGGCTATGCTGCTGCTTGGAACGTTGCTGTCTCGGGCTCCGGCCGTCGACCCCCTGACGCCTGAAGTAGTTGTGCCTCGGCTCATCTTGTGCTCGGCACTGGGACTGGTACTACTCCTATGACTACTACTACCACTACTACTACTACTACTACTACTACTACTACTACTACTACCACTACTACTACTACTACTACTACTACTACTACTACTACTACTACTACTCACGAAAGTAACACTGCCTTGATCGTCACTCTCGTCGTCGTCAAGTACCAACACGAACGCACAAGAAAGCAAAGTGACAGACGGAAATCTCGCCACAGCAACAACTGGTAATTTCAATGTCAGTACGACCTTCGCGCAAATCCTGATAGTCAACCACCTCCAGCAGCAGCACCGGCACCAGCAGCAGCAGCACCACCACCACCACCACCAATGTTATCCTCGTCGGCAGCACCGTCGTCATCGCGGTGTGACCGTCGCTTTCCTTGTCATGGCCGCTACTGTGTTGCCAATGACAGTCGTGGTCGTCGTCGCCATCTTCACCATAGGCATGTTTTCTGGGTGATGCCCATCATCACTGCCATGTTCATACTGTACAGACCAACTGTCCTCATCGTATTCACCATCGCCATCATCACCGCTGCTGACATCATCAACATCGTCATCGTGTAAGAGTTCGTATAAGGGTTCTGCAAGGGTTCTACAACATAAGCCTTCATAATATGGAACCCACTGCAAAAATCCACAATTCTGAGCTTACAAACCGTGGTCACTCACTTTACCACGACAACAATTTAGGCTCCGCTGTGCAGGTCCCCTGTACTGCACGTTGCGTTGCACCGTATGAGCAGACATGTTTGAATCTTGGAAAGTGGTATCGCGCGTCGATGCATCTTTCGCGCAAAAGTGTTTTTCCTTTCGCGCCTGCTTTGTCAGATCTTTCGCGGACCCTTTACACCCTATCACTTTGCCGGTCCTGTAGAAACTGTAGACACGGACCTTTAGAACAACCATCATATCTGGAATAGGGTTTTCGGGTATAGTGTTGTAGGCCCCCAAACCTTCGAATCTCGCCCGAACCCCGCCCTCGTGGAACACTTGCCGGAAGCCCTACTATAAAACCCGCATAATCGGCAGAAACTTCCATAAACCCCTCAACCCTACACCCCAGACAGCTCCCCAAAGCCGAGATCCAAAGCACAAGACCTCCGAAGTCCGCTTTTGCAAGCCCTCCCAAGAACCTCAGAACCCTGGAACCCAGAGCCCTGTATCCCAAAAGGTCCTAAATCCCCAAAGGCACCAAAACCCCAAAAAAGGCTCGCCAAGCCGGCCCGGAAACGAGAGGTGGAGCTCCAGCAGTGGGACAGGCTGGTTCTTGATGTACCCTTCCGACAAGGGGGTTGAAGGTTTAGGGTTGAGGGACTGGGGGGTTTTGTAAGACTTCGCATGAGTTTGGGTTTGGGGTTTAGGGTTTAGGGTTCTAACAATAGTTGTAAGTGTTTCGGCTGTCCGGGGTTTTAGGCTGTGGGTAGAGCGCTGCGTATGGTTTTCATTGTCTTGGCTTGGGATTGCGCGGATTTCCCTTTGAGGATCCGTCCCCCTAAGCCCAAAGCCTTGAACACTGAACTCGTCTTAGCCTTAAGCCCTAAGGCTTAAACCTTAAGCCGTAAACCCAACCCTAACCCTAAACCTTGAACCCTAAACCTAGACCCTAAGCAAAGCTATACAGCCTGATCCCTCCTCCTAAGCCGTAACCCTCGGTACGTATCTGCCAGTTGTGGCAACAACTCCCGAAACACCTTAAGGACCTAAACCCTAAGCCCTAAGGCCTCAACCGCACGGACCGGGTTCAAGGTGAGCTGGATTCTCTGGAAAGGCGGACCGCGCGGACCAAATCTGCAGATTGAATTGGCGCCGGCGCACGGGACAACGAGTGAAATCTGAGTCATATTCCTCAGGTATCGGTCGGCGTGCCAAACGCGGACGCGGGGCTTCATCGGCAAATCCCTCAGATTCCAGGGGACGGGGGGAACCTGCGAAATCTGAGCAACGTTAGTAACATTGCTCAGATTTCGGTCCGTTTGCTTGATGCCAGCCGGCAAATTCCTCAGATTCCAGGCGGCCGGGGTGAACGATCGAAATCTGAGCAATGATAGTAACATTGCTTAGATTCCGGTCCGTTTGCCTTGACCTATTGAACCTTTCTGGACACATTGAATCACACCATCTGGCCATATATGCCTGAATTCCCGTAGCTAGCTTGTTTTATGTTAGGACACTTGAAGTTCCTGATGTCCGAAACCCCAGACCCTGCCTGAAAGAGCGTACGCCGACGCGCGGCCGAGCTTGTTGTGATCGAAGCGCATCTTCCTGAGGTGATCAAAAACGCGGCTTCGGGCGCTCGGGAGCTCTGTGGGGCTTTACGATTTCGAGAAGCCCCAAGTCCCCAAAAGAAGAGGCAAAGCACAGTCTCAGCATCCGAGCTCCCCATGAGAAGTCCGAGTCCCGAGGCGTGAGGTCCGTTTCGTTTTTCACGCAGCCATTCAGGGTGCTTGGCTTCAGTTTGGGGTCTTCGACGTTCCCTTCCCCTCCGCCTTGAGGAGTCTTCAAGGGCTCTTGTTGGAGTTTGGCTCATTTTTCCACAACAAGCAAACCCAAAGTCCGAAGCCCAAGCACTAACCCGAAGTCGAATGCAGAAACAAGCCGGCGCCCTCGACGCTGAAGCCCAAAACCCAGACCCGAAGCCCTAGGAGCCTTAGAGAAACCCTTGTACCCTTCAAGAAACCCTCATAGAAGCTGAAACTCCTGAAGCACCTAAAAAAACCCTCAGCCCGAAGTCCGAAAGGACTGTGGCAAAACCTTATAAGGACAACATCATACCCCTGAAGATCCCAAAAAACAATCAGGAGCCCAGGAATCACCTGGGAACCACTGGGGAGATCACCAGGACACCACGAGCAGACCCCCAACCACCAGGAAACCACCAGGACACCACGGCAAACTTCCTCCCCCAGACATTGGCGGGTGCAGGGTTTAGGGTTTGGGGTTTCTGCTTCCCTCCATATACTGGTGGGATTCAGAGTTCTCGATGCCAAAAGATGGCCGGGAACATGTTCCATGGCTCGCCGCGTGGCCAGACTAACCAGCTGTCTTTACACCCCGCATTTGAACACCGTAGCGTTTACCAGACTGTTTGGGGAATGCAACCCTGTAAAATGTGTCATAAGTTCTAAGGAACCCTATAAAGCCATATGAAATTTTACAACCACCACCAATACCGTTAGCTCTGTTACGATATGCTGTTATTGGAATAGGGCTTTGGGATGTATTCGTGCAAACTTGCGTTACCCTAAGGACTACTAAAACTAAGTTTTCAGGCCCTGCAACACTCTTTTTTTGTAACCCTTACAACACCCGTCAGAACCCAGCGAAGCTCTGTAAAGCAATATTGGGACCAATCCTAGACCCTAATCCCGAAATGAGGTACTCTTCGTATCATACTGTAACCTGCGACAGCTCCATGAAACCTTGTAGAACCTGTAAACGAGGTACTCCAAGTATTGTGAATAAGTGAAAGCATAGCGACCCAACCACCAACCTTCAAATCTCAAAAACGCTCCACTAAATCCCACCAAACGCCAGGTCTACCCCCTACGAGTATTTCAAAGCCTCTAACAAACCCTCTAACACCCTCAACTCTCCCCAAAAACCCCTCAAAACGCAAAAAACAAAAAAAAAAAAAACAGAACCCTCAGACCTCAAGCTGTCTTTTGGCTGGGCGGCTCTGCGCCGATCTTCAAGCCGAAGAGCTGCTTCAAGATAAGATGAAATCCTCGCTCCCGGAGTTGCAAACCCCTGTTCTGTAGGGGCCTTGATAAGTAGAATAGGGGTTCCTTTAAAGGGATCCTTAAAGGGTTCTATAAGGGACCCATGATAGGGTTCTATTGTCGGGGCCTGATAATCAGAATAGGAGAATAGGGTTTTGGGGGTATATTATACACTATGAAGAACAAGGCGCCCCCCCAAATAAAAAAGGTCATTAGGAAGGCCCCTGTATTACAAACC